CAGGTCGGTTCGGAAGTTTTTGATGCCATGTTTTATATCATGTATATTCAGCCAACATATAGTTATCTGTAGGGACGACCCTGGATCCATTCGGCAGGCGCTGTTACATCAACTCTGCACCAAAAGTTGAAATATATGGTGGGTGGTAGTGTTGTTACTGTTTGTGGGGAAGAAGATATTATGATAAGTCATTTGTCTTCGTTCAAATACGTCGAGGTTGACGGTGATATCCACGAGACGTTATGTTAGGCTTTCGAGACTGTGCAGATTAAGGAGAAAACATCAGTTGTGAGCAAAGGGCTTGAGGTTGCCATGTCATCTTTTAAAGAAGCACATGCAGTGGTGAAATCCGGGGCATCTTAGGGTTGGGGCCAAGTTCTGAGCATCCCCAACAAACAAGACAAGTTCGTACTGGGGTACAACCCATCCTCCTCTTCACATAGCGCGTCGTGCTACAAGGGACCTGTCCAATTAACCAACAGTGGGGTGATCTTTGAGCAGATCAATGTTGTGTCCGATGAAGAAGGGGATAACGACTACGAGTATGGATATTTTTGCTTGGTCATACAAAGATATGCATGGTCTTGATACAGATATTCTGGTTCATCGCTTGCCTTTGCGTGAAGAGTGTCCACCTGTCAAGCAGAAGCTCAGGAGAACAAGACTAGACATGGCAGTAAAAATCAAAGAAGAAGTCCAGAAGCAGTTGGATGCAGGATTTCTCGCCGTGACAAATTACCCTCCGTGGGTCGCTCACATCATACCTGTGCCTAAGAAGGACGGTAAGGTAAGGATGTGCGTTGATTATATGGACTTGAACAAAGCGAGCCTGAAGGACGATTTTCCGCTCCCCCACATTGACATATTTGTTGATAATACTGCTCAGTGTTCCGTGTTTTCCGTCATGGACAGTTTTTCCGGATATAATCAGATTAAGATGGCGTCGGAGGATATGGAGAAAATGACTTTTATCACACCGTAGGGGACTTTCTGTTATAAGGTAATGCCTTTTGGGTTGAAGAACACAGGGGAAACCTATCAGCGGACAATGGTGACGCTCTTTCATGATATGATTCATCATGAGATCGAGGTCTATGTTGATGACATGATTGTGAAGTCATAGACGGAGGAGGAACATCTGGTGAACCTTTTGAAGCTGTTTGAGAGGTTAAGTAAATTCAGACTGAGGTTGAATCCGAACAAGTGCACTTTTGGTGTACGGTCAGGAAAGTTGTTGGGGGTTCATTGTCAGTGAAAAAGGAATCGAGGTCGATCCTGCAAAAATAATCCCCTTGCGTAACCGACTCCCGAACCCAGACAACGGTTGCGATGACCTTGTCTTATACCCTTTTCGTCAGGTTTTTCCGATCGTTTCCTTTCCCGTTCTGAGGGATAAATAACGAAAGGTGGCGACTCTTCTGTTTTTCCGGCACCTTATTTTCGCGGAAGCGACAACAGGTATTTAAAAAATCGTGATTATAGGTAGCATTTTTTACTTATTTTTTCAAAATGCTGACAGACCTTTCACCACTGGTATTTAAAAACTGTGATTATAGGTAGCATATGGTCATGGGTTCAAGTTCCAACACCAACATTATAAGTGGCGCGCTTATTGAGTTTATTCATTGTCCTTAAACAAATCTTGACCGTCTATTTAGTGATTATCAATAGTCAAGACACTACTATTAGTGATCCGCGCGAAACATAAAACTTAACGAACTTCCAACTTAGACGAACTACATCGTCTACCTCCAAACACCATCTTTCATTTACGATACTTTATTTCTCCACTAAACTAAACTCGAAAACAACATTTCTTTCATAAACAAAACTCGAAAATATCATTTCTTTCATTAACAAATTTCAGAACTCCATCATCTCTTCTACAACTTGAATGAGATAAGGAAAGTATGGATTCGATTTAGCAATGTTAGTTGTTGGTGCTCTTTTTTATTATTGTTGTTCTTGTTGTTGATATTGTTGTTCTTGTTGTTGTTTTGTTGTTGTTTCTGGTGTTGTTGTTGTTGTTCTTCTTCTTCTTGTTATTGTTATTGTTGTTATTCTTGTTCTTGTTCTTCTTTTTTTGTTTTTGTTATTGTTCTTATTTTTGTTCTTGTTGTTGGGGGGATGATTGTCGTCAGCCCTGCGAGGGATTGACCATCAGCCTTGTGTTAATTATTTTGGGTTGTTGACTCAATTTTTCGGTTAGATTTTGTTTGACATTTGTTTGATGTTGCTTTGATGTTGATGATGAACAATGATGAGCTTTGTGGAGAAATTGCATAATTTAATCATCATGATAAATTTTGATTAAAATGTCGAGTTGTGTTGAGATGTGTGGTTCATAGAGGAACTACTGTGGTGACCTTATATTGGAGATATTATGGGCTCAGAGAGAAATAAATGATGATAACTATATTGATATTGTTTGTTGTATTTCATGTATCATGTATGTCGGGGATAGGTAACGGACTTCAGTCCAGTGACGAGTCTCAGGTTCAGAGAAGGGACATGTCATGAGTCTATTGGTTACAGAGTTTGGTCAAGTGTGACGGACTTCAGTCCAACATGATATACTTTGTTCCAATGGCGAGTATCAGGTTCAAAGATGGACCTTGTGACGCGAGTGATGGTTCAGAGATGGAACCAGATTCATAGAGGAACCTTGATGAGTGGATAAATCAGTAACATACTTCGGATATATAAAACTTGATACCACATGCATTGCTGTAGTGGATTTGATTGAATTGCATACATAAATGCCCTTGTGATTGGTGATTGTTGTGGATGATTCATATGTTTGATGATCGAGTTTGTTATCCTTTGTTGTTTTATGCACCGCTAACTTTTTTAAATGTATTCTCACCCCCTGTTTGTTTATGTGTTGTTCTTTACCCCTTTGGTACAGATACTCCGGTAGATGAGCCTTAGTTGTTGTTGAGTAGGAGGATGGCTTAATGACCTTCTTCGTTATTGTATTGTTTTCGAGTTTGTTGAAGTTTTTTGCATGCCGCTCTGATAATGTAACACTAGGATGAGTAACCTGTTTCTACCTTTTGTTCTGAATTATTGAATCATTTATTTAAATAAAGTATTTTCTACTTTGAGAAAATTAAAGTGATTTTGAATGTTTTGAATTCTTATGGCATGATATGATTTTTGAGGAAGATGTTTTGTGTTGAGAAAAATGTGACACCCTGTTGTTGACTGCTTTATCCGCAATTTTTTATAAGATAAGTATTTAGGATTTAGGGTGTTACATGTTGCACCATATGCGCAAAAGATTAAATTTACACTAACACTCTACAAATTTTTGTGTTTCTAATTTGCATCATCATTAGCATGATTATTTGTTTGAAGTTTTAGTTTTCGAGTTGCATGAGCTCTATGCTAGGTATGATGAAAAAAAATTTTAATTTTTACAATGTGTTTCATGTTTGAGTCTCTCATCGTCATTTGCAGCTTTTTATGTGAAAAAAATTATTCAAGATGGTGGAACATTTTTCTAAATAATTTTGTAGAAGTGCCGGCAGAAGTGGTGGTGCGGCATCAACTTCAGAATTATATTAGAAAAGTTTGATGTGACAAAAATTTTGTAAAGTTAAAAGGACTTTCGGATCTTTGTGCAAAACTTGTAGAAACAAATAAATGCAAAATATTCGATATGGCTTATAAGCTTTTGAAGTTGACTTTAGTCTTGCCAATATGAACTTCAAGTGTGAAATGTGTTTTTTTAGCTATGAAATTTGTGATGAGTTAATTCTCTTATCAAATAAGTGATCAATGGTTAAATGATTGTCTTGTAACTTTTATAGAAAAAGATGTTTTTTGAACAATTAATAATGATATTATTTTAGTTCATTTTCAAAAAATGGATAATAGATGATTTTCATTGTAAATGTAATTCATTAAATAATATTATTTTTTATTTTTATTATAATTTAATCCATACTTTTTGTGATGTTTAACCACGCCAACATGTAAAGTCTAGATCTGCCCTGCATTATAAACTTCTAATAGTAATTAGGTAGAATTATTCCAAACATGGTAAAATATACTTTTTTGTGGAATGACTAGGCAAAATAACATTTATTTGTGGGTTGAGTGATAAACATGTTTAAACACTTGAGAGACCATGGTGATAGTGTAAAGAGAGAGTTGCCTCTCTTGATGATTGTTGTGAATGCTTCCTAGATCTTGTTCAAATGAAAATCCTTAAGAATTATGGATTGTTGTGAATGCTCCCTAGATCTTGTTCAAATGAAAATCCTTAAGAATTATGGTTTGTTTGTTCAAATGAAATTCCTTAAGAGTTTGAATGAGTTTTAGTTTTTAACTTTTAAAATTATTTTGTAAATCAATTTTTAGAAGAGAATTAAAAAAAAAATGTTTGGTGATGTAACCTTTGAAATTGTTTATATGTTGAACAATTTTATAAATTTGTCAATAATAAAAAATGTATTACTTTTCTTTGTATTTTCTTCATAATTTTTAAAACTACAAACAAAAATAAAAAATCTCCATAATTCATTTTAATTTTTTAATTTTTAAAATTCTCAAATAGAGAATAATTTTATAAAACTAAACTATCAAACAAATTTTATAGTTTTAAAATTTTAAAATTAAAAAACAATTTTACAAAACCAAATCAAATAGATCCTTAACATTTAAACATACGAGAACTTCTGAGAGATGATTTTGACTTCAAAGGTTTTGCATGTTTGTCTTTGGTTCTCATCTTCATTTGTTTTTACTACTTGAGAAAACAAACCATAATCTTCAATTTTTTTAACAACTAGACATAGATTGTGTCAAGCAAAACTCCATTCACAAACAATTGTATTGGCATCTCTTAAGCCAAAATTTTAAATCACAGAAGTAGATGTAGCCAAATGACTAGAAATGAGAAAACATGTTCTTGTAACAACTTTATAAATAAATAAAAATTAAAACTGAATACAAGTAACAATAGTTACATCATACACAAGGAAATTGATTAATCAAAGAGGAATATTAAGGCCTTTTCCAATCTCAACTCCAATCACTTCAAGTATTCCCTTGTTTATTATCTGCAAAGCACATCACATTCACACAATTACTTTACCAGAATGAATAGTGCTTAGTGCTTGTTTAGTATCATCTACAAAATGCAAAGTGTGATAAAAATAATAACCATAGAAGATACTTACAAGCTCTACAATGAAAGTTCCAATGAGTCCAATCATGCAAGCTCTAGAGTTCCATATTTCTGCAGTCTTTGTAAACCCAAGAAACGGTCGTTTAAACTGAGGCTGTACTTTTGGAAACTCAACCTGAAAATTCAACTTCATAAATAACAATATTTAAAAAAAATGAAAATTTAACCAAAAATAAAAAATAAAAGAACTTAATATGAAGTTGCATACACCAGAAGGAGTTTTGACTGCTTGGACAGTGAATGAAACTCTCCTCTTGTGAAGTGATGATGAAAAATTCAAGTTATGATTTTGAAGGAATGAAACTTGGTGATTTGTAGAATGAAGTGACGGGGTTCCTAAGATGAAGGATGATGGTAATTTAGTTGATGAGATAGCCATGGCAATGGTTGATAACCGCAAACACTTCTAAACTGTGAGTTATCTACATTTTTTCTTCTTCATTTTTTCATTTGTTTTTGTGTGGTTCAAATTGGAAGAAGATGGGGTTGACATCTCGATACGTGTAACGATAACAGTGGTAGATAACTTAATGTGATATAATATGTATATAATTTTTTACTTGAGTTCTTTTTAGAATAAAATATAAACCAAAAAATTATTGAAAAATTATTATTATCTTAAATTAAAGTTATAAACCTTTATGTCACTATTATAAACAAATAGAAATGTTTCCATTTTTTATCATTATTATAAACAAAAATTAATTATTACTAAATTTTTAATTAAATAATTCCTAATATTTCTCTATAATTCAATTTTCATTTTCCAACATACTTTTTTAAATGATTAAAAAATCATTTATTGTTAAATGTGTGAGACTATTATTATAATTTCTGAATGTATTTTATATATATATATATATATATATATATATATATATATATATATATATATATATATATATATATATATATATATATATATATATATATATATATATATATATATTTCTTAATAAAAATAATTAATTTAATATGTTTTATGATTAAAATGACTATTTAAAGGGACATCAAATTGTTTTTTACAATAATCTAGAGTATTTTGCATTTTTGCAATTTGTTATGATATGGTTGATTTTATTTTTTTAATGTGAAATATATTAAGGTGAGAGAATGAAAGCTAGGTAAGATTCAAGATTCACAGATAAAAGTGTTTAAAAAATATACATAAAAAAGAGCATTGATGACGATCTTACAAATATATAAAATCATTGCAAATAATATTCTAGTAAGTATTACTAAGTATCGAATACGAAGATTGAAATTGGTATTGGATTCATCATTGAATAAAAGAGTTTCTTAGTTGGTTTATGAGATATAATGCTAAAAAATATGGTTTATAAGTATTCGATACTAGAATCAGGAATAGATGAAGGGTTGAAGATGATCATCGCGTGAAGTCTTTCATAAACGGTGGATAAGATTTTGGGGAATAAAGGAGGGTATTTGCAAAGAATCATATATATCTAAAAAAGTTGAAGGAAAATGAAATAACTATATTACCCTTGCTTAATCCACGTGTTGCCACGTCATCTCTTAGAATTACTTCACCGTCAAATATAGTTTGTTGCACCCTCTTTAACCATGCACTCACACTCTCAATCAATCACTAATCTTCTTATCTTCATCAAATGGATAAAAATGCATATTAAGTTTTTTTTTATTTAATTTCATAAATACCAATTTTCAATAACAACCGTCAAATTTAGATCAAGGGATATACATAATGACTCATGTTTACCGTCTCGCAAGCTATCTCCTACAACTTTCAACCTAAACTTTTCAAATTTTCCACCTCAGCTAAATCTCGAACATTGATGCATATCTCTCTGATTAGACATCAATAGTTTTTCATCTGAACCAATCTTTACTCTTCACCTCTCAACAACATTTATACGGTTCTCATTTTCTTTTCACGTCTCATCTAAACCATTCTTCACTCTCCACCTCTCTAAAATGTTTTATCATTTTTTTTCCATTTTTAAAGCTCACATTTTTTCATAGCTTACATTTTTAATAATGTAGGTGTTCCTTTTTTTTTTTTTTGCAGTTTATTTTCTTTGTGATTAAGATTTGTTCTTCCATTTTCAAGGCTCATATTTTTACTAATGTATTTGTTCTTTCTTTTTTTTAGTTTTTTTTTTTTACATTAGGAATTTTTCTTCCATTTTCAAAGTTCACATTTTTTTCATAGCTCACATTTTTAACAATGTATGTTTTCTTTCTTTTTTTACAGTTTATTTTCTCTGTGATCAAGATTTGTTCTTCCATTTTCAAAGCTCACATTTTTACTAATGTATATGTGATTTCTTTTTTGTAGTTTATTTTTTCCTGACATTAGGATTTTTTCTTCCATTTTCAAAGCTCACATTTTTACTAATATATATGTTCTTCCTTTTTTGTAATTTATTTTCTCTGACGTTTCTGTTCATCCCAGCAGAAGTATAGTGTTGTATTTTTTGGTCTTATGTTATTTATATGTTGTTCATTTTTTCTTTAGTTTATAGTGTTAAACAATCTAAACCCGTCACAAGTGTTCATTTATCTCAAAATCTGAATGTTGTATTTCTGCAACATTATATTTCTTATTTATACTTATTTATCATTGTTCTAGTTTTTTGCTTATGTATTTCCCGCATCTGAATCTGAATGTTTTTTTCTCTCAATATCTAAATGTTTGTTTCCTCGTGAATGTAGAATGACAATACTAGATGACCTAATAAAAGATGTTACTTACATGAAGTAACTGTGGAACATTCACTTTAGGATTGAAGATATTTGGTCTGTTTAGAGTAAAGTGAAGGAAGAGCATTTGGAGACGATTTTGTTGGACAGAGAGGTACAACTAAATATACTATACAATTGTTTCCCCTTATACAAATATAATATGTTAATGTATTTTCTTTTAATATTAGGGACATTAAATACAAGTAGTTGTGCATGCTTATATGGTTGCATAACTTAAGCCCTAGTTGGTCGAAAGTGAGACTTATTTGATGAAGAATTTTAAGGTCCTACCAAATAATTTATAGTACAATTAAGGTGAGAAAAATACACAAGAAGTGAGATAGTTGAATTGTGTATTCCAAAAAAATCGTTTCATTTCTATTTTAAGAACTTTAAAATCTTAGCCACGTTCAGAGTCTAATATCAAAATAACTAATAGTAGTGGAAATGAAATGATCAGAAGTAAACGCAAACAACACTCAAAGATTATCCTGGTTCATCTCCTCAACTGAAAGTATTCTAGTCCCCTTGCCTCAACAAGAACTTGTCACTATAACCAAATTGATTACAATTGCTCAGACACACTTACAAGAGACTTCAATACTCAATCAACCTAGAAAGAGACTTATGGTCAATCAACCTAGAAAGAGACATCACTTGATCAAGTACACTTACAAGAGACTTCAATACTCAAGCACGCAGGCAAGAGACTTTCTTTACTTTAAACAAATAGTTTAGTAGAAAATGTAACTACTATACTTTGATACATAATCATAATTAAAATAGTTGTGCAACAATCACAAAGGTTCTCAACCTTTCTAAGATTTCTAAGATAATCTAAGATAATAAATCTTAAGATCCTATGCAATAACAGATACAAATAACAGCTCGGAGTTATGCAAAAGATCTTTCAATGCATTGTGATTTTGTTACCTTCCTTCAAGTCTTCAGCTTCCTTTTGTAGAGGTAGAGAAAGAGTCATTGGAGGTTTTAACAACATCAAACTTAATGAAGAAGTATGCCAAGAGAGACGTTGGCGACTAGCATCTAGTTAGAAGTATTGTTCAATGGATAATGGCATTGCTTATAGCAGCTTTTGAAGTACTAGGTATCTACTAAAAGGTAAAACAAATTAAAGAGGTCACATCACCATCCCTTGAGCCTTGCAAAACCAAACCCTAGTTGGCTCTGTCTAGAAATTTGTTGTTTTGACAAGACTAGTCAGCTTTGGTGCAGAGTACGAATTAGAGGCTGAGCTGTCACCAGAGGCTGGAACAGCATACCAGAGTTTGAGCCTTCAGATGTTGATGAACACGTCCAGAGTTACCAGCTTTTGATTAATCAGAATCTTAGTAACATTACTTTTTCACTTATGCTTTTAACATGATTAGTTTGTTAGACGATAAACTTCAATCTAGAGGGGGTGAATAGATCATAAATTTAAAACCAAAACTTTTGGAAACAATTTGTTTTCAAAAATTTATGGCACATCGGAAACAACTCGAATCGAATTGTCAAACCAAACCTATTATCGAAAAGCTCGGATATGCGTAATGTAAACCTATGGAATGATAATAAACACAAATTGTTCAACAACGATTAATTCATGGATCAATCAAATGCAAAGGTATTCCTAAAGCTTATTTCCATTGATCACAAAGCGATAAATATACTCAAAGGTAATTTATCGAACACTTTGTGTGCGATCGATAACGTTTGGAAATTCAATTTGTTTTGTTGATGTTAAAAGCCGATCACAATAAAAGTGATTATGATTATATCAACAAAAGCACTTTGAAAGATAATTAAAAATAATTTCCAATCGAATTAATCGAAACAACAACAAAATCGATAATCTACCATATAAGGAAAGTTTAGTCTAGGAAAAATACCATTCTTCCCATCTTTATTTTTTTTACACCTATTAAATTTGTTGGTTTTTTGGTCTTTGGACACTTAATTTACATATTATATTATTAAAAAATTCTTTCCCTTTTAATACACATGTTTTTCACGTTATCCCCTTCATATTTTCTCACTCTTTCTCTCTCGTCCATTTCACTTTCTCTCTTCTTTCTGATTTCTCATTTTTCTTCTCAAATCTCCTTCCTTAATTTCTAATCTTCTTCGTTACCACTTTCTAATTTTATGTCAACGACGCCACTATCACCATCACTGCCGCCACCATTTTTATGGTTTTCGCTTTCAACCGTTTCATTTTTTATTTATTCAACATCATTAACATTGTTTTTATGGTTTTCGTTTCAGATAGGTTCTTATTCTTCATATTTGGGGTTTTTTTTGTTGATACCGAGTGATGATGAAGAGATCTTGCTCCTTTTTCTACTTCGTCTAAATCCAAATTTGAGTTTTTATTCGATTTGTAGTTTTCCTCTCAGATTTGAGTTTTTTCTTTTAGGGTTTTGATTTTTAAAGTTTTATTTTCACGTTTTGCAGGTAATTTATGAAACAAATGTTTTTAACAATAACAATCTTAGGAAAAAGTGTTATGCAGATCTGGAAAAAATGGGTATGGAGAAAAATAGGTATTGAGAAAATATGCAGATCTGAAAAAAATGGGTATGGAGAAAAATAGGTATTGAGAAAATATGCAGATCTGGTATAGTTGTTGTTGTCATTTGTGTTTGCTCT